CCCTCCCGGTCCCGGGTGCGGGAGGGCTCGGGCCTCAGCTAGGGTCCCCTCCAGTGTGTCCTCGGGGCCTTCCTGTCCGTGTGGGGGAGTCCGTGTCCATCTTGGTCGGATGAGCTGCGCTCGGCCCCGGGACCGGAAGGAGCTCTCCCAGCCGCGGGCCTCCTGCTCCCCTCGCCGGGGGTGCCCGGGCGCGGAGCTGGGAGCAGACCTCTCCGGGGTGTCCCCCCTTCCCCCCTGCTCCCCCAGCTGGAAACGGCTCGTCCCAAGTCGTCCTCCCAGGCTCAGAGGCTCAGTGTAGACGGTGACTTGGCGTCTGGGAGACATCGGTGACTTGTCAGAAGTTGCCACTGATTGACCGCGACACCCCCTCCCCTCGTTTTGTCTCCTACGTTTTTCATCATTGAGAGATGTCTGCAGATCGCGTTAAAAACGGGTTTTGAGAGTCACATGCAGCCGCCCGAGGCAGAGGGAATGCAGACTTTCTGAGTTTGGCTCAGCAAAGTGGTGACCATTTTTGAGGCGACACCCCGAGACCCTGGAGCGCAGCGTCTCGGCCTCCTGGGGCTCGGGCGCCCGGAGACATGCGACCCAAGCGAGGCCTGGTCCCAGAGTCCGCAGAGCATCATGGCTACAGGTCGGGGTCCGGGTGAGGGCCTGGCCTCCTGGGCTGAAATGTGAGGGTGGCTTTGTTTCCACGGCTCCCCGCGGCCCAGCCCCGGACTTGACACCGGGGACGCGGTGGGACAGCCCTGGGGTCACCTCCGAGTGGAGCCTGGATGAGCTCCCCGATCCCTTCCCTGCGGGCTCCGCACCGGTCAGCTCCTGGCAGGTCGCTTGGTGTCCAGCCCCCTTTGGGGGTCGCACCGAGTGATCATCGGAGATTGGCTAATAGTCCGCACCAAGGACAGGACATTTTTGGCTTTTTTAAAAAATAGCCCTCTCTGTCTTTACATTTAAAAATGGTTTTAAAACCTTCCTCTAATTTTGAGACAAACATTTTTTTGTTAGAACTGATTTCAGGAAAAGAATATTTATGTGCATGCTGCCAAACATCTGGATGATAATGGAATTTTTCCATTTTGTTCCACTGTCTGCTTTTAAGACATTGCAATCTAAATAAAAAGCAAAAAGACTGTGGTTTTGGTGTTTAAACAAATTTATAACCTGTTTTCAATCGATTAGTCAATTTTAAAGGGAATTTTAGAGCTAGAAGAGACTCTTGAGGTCATTTAAGTGAACCCTGTGTTTTACAAATGAAAAACTGGACGTGGGCCCAGAAGTTTAAATGACTGCCTCAGGCCCCCGAAGCCAGGGCTGAGCCAAGAGCAGACCCCGAGGCCCCTCACTGCTGGCTGTTGTTGAATCCCTTCCACTTGACCCGGAGCCGCTGCGAGCCAGTGGTGGGGGACGACGGGGCAGAGCTCTGCCCTCAGAGTGCTAGAAAGTTCCCCCCTCTGTCACCCTGACACGGCCACAGAGGGTTCCAGGAATTCCTCAAAAAAGGACGTTTGTAACGGTGGATGTTTTGCTTTTGAGCTATTTAATATTTTTTTCCTTTAAAATTGAGTTAACTCACCTATATACTTTAATGGGTTTTAAAATGAGCAAATACTATTTTTCAGCATTACAAAGGAAACATCATAATGTAAACCTCCTAGAGAATTAGGTCCCATAGAAATTACGTGTTTTTTGGAGCAAATGATCAGAGTTCTCCGAACTCAGAATCATAAATATTGACTTAAGTCTGTGATTTTTTCCATAGAGAAAAATCTTAGGTCTAGTTCAGGATTCTATTAATGACCTCACACTGTCCGTAAGTGTTTGAAATTTTAAAATATTGAATAGCTTGACTGAAAGGAGATCAAACTTTAAAAAAAAAAAAAAATATATATATATATATATATATATATATATATATTATTGATTTTTTACCGAGAGGAAGAGAGAGGGATAGCGAGTTAGAAACATCAATGAGAGAAACATCGATCAGCTGCCTCCTGCACATCCCCTACTGGGGTTGTGCCCGCAACCAAGGCACATGCCCTTGAGCCGAGTCGAACCTGGGACCTTTCAGTCCGCAGGCCGACGCTCTTATCCACTGAGCCAAACCGGTTAGGGCAAGATCAAACTTTTTATGTTGAATGTGTGTCTTTCCACTTCTCCCTCCATTCACCCCAAGATTCTGATACTTTCCTCTCTGCTCTGAAAGTCACTGGTCTAATCAAAGTAGATTCTGGAGTAAAGCGAATGGAGAAAATCCCGTTTTTCACCATTTGGTTTTATTCTCTTGGGATCATGGATCCTATTTTCTTTCCGCTTGGTTTTCAGAGTAACCTGCTAACTTCGTGTTGGCCCTTGAAATGCATGACAGTCATATAAGCAAGTATGACTTGACCAAAACCACTGGCAGCGGGATACACCTTCCAAAGCCTGCAGATGTGGTTTTCTGTGTTCCTCTCAGAGAGCGTAAGAACGTCTTAAAGTTCTAGGCCAGTGATGGCGAACCTTTTGAGCTCGGCGTGTCAGCATTTTGAAAAACCCTAACTTAACTCTGGTGCCGTGTCACATAGAGAAATTTTTTGATATTTGCAACCATAGTAAAACAAAGATTTATATTTTTGATATTTTATATATTTATCCACTGAGCCAAACCGGTTAGGGCTGATATTTTATATATTTAAATGCCATTTAACAAAGAAAAATCAACCAAAAAAATGAGTTCGCGTGTCACTGTTCTAGACCCAGAGAAGAGCACCTGTCAGTGTAACGCCTTCCGAGGAATGCCGGGAGCTTCAGTGCCGTGGTCGGCATGAAAAGTGACTTATAGGCTCTTGCTGGCGGCATTGTGGACAGCTGCTTATTGCATAGTAACTCGCATGAGTTCCAAAGCCAGATTTCTGTTGTATTTTACACCTTTTTTTGAGGTTTAGAATTTGGGTAACATTTATATTCTCTTTAGTCCGCAAGCTGATGCTCTTATCATCGGCTAGGGCTATATTCTCTTCTCCCAAAGTGTTTAGCCTTAGTTTATAACAGATTCTTGTGGAATCTTTCATTCATAATCCTTCTGACATTTTCCCATTGCTTTAGACAAGTGTAACAAACTAACCTCATGAGCAGGTTTGACTTTTCTATTAGAACATTTTTTAGGGCCGCTCCGTTTGAAAATCACTTTGCTGCTATTACAAGTCTTCCTCGCATGGATTGGACCCCTTGTGAAAGTTGTTCAGTTACTCTGCCTGCTTCCTTTGCTGGTTTAGATACCTTTTCAGAGCTGTATGGTCTTGCTTTATAAGCTGTAAGGTATATAGTAAATGCGTCCAATAAAGCTCCCATGTAGACATTAAAAGGAACTGGCAGAAGAACACACATTATTTTCTTTTGTAAATACCCTTGTGGACTTGTAAAGTGATTGTGTTTGTTTTATTCCAGTTGGGTCTTTGTCTTCTGAGGATCATGATTTTGACCCCACGGCTGAGATGTTGGTCCATGACTATGATGACGAAAGAACTCTTGAGGAAGAGGAGATGATGGACGAGGGTAAAAACTTCAGCTCTGAAATTGAAGACTTAGAAAAGGTAAAGGATGGTACTTAATATTTTAATACAAACTTTCAGCAAAGATTTTGAAATTCTATTGTAAATTATTTTACAGTCTGTTTTTGATCTAACTTTTATAGAGTGTCACTGATTTTCTCATTATTTTGGAGGATAGCCTAATAAGTACATTTTTATTTAATTTTTCAAAATTATTTCACATCTGCTAAGCTAATTTTCAAGTGTCCACCAGCCCAGTGAAGGAGGTACCTGGTGATGGCACAGGTGGGCTCCTGGTCGTCAGGTTTAGTTCTGAATCGTAGCCCAGCCTCCATGGGTTAGACCGCACGCTCTGAGGGTCCAGCTTGCGTTTACCTGCAGGAGATACAGGGAGAAGTCTTCTCCTTCAGATACTGACAGTCTGTGGAATACTCTTAAGAAAATTAAAAGAGAAAAAGTTCTGCTCTGTTTTAAAATGTAAGTTAGTAATATCTCATTTTCTACCCCCCAGTTGTCTTTTAAAAAATTGGCAGGAGTAAATGTAGTTTATAACTTTTTAGATCCAAAATCAATATAAATTCAAAGGAATTGGATTTTAAACACTTGGAGTGCGGGAAACGAGTTAAGTCGGCTCGCGTGAATTGCGCGTACTCCGCGGGAGCCGTCTTAAAACTCGGTTCATATAGATTTGCGGTGGAGTGCGGGAAACGTGTAAACTCGGGCCGATTGTAACTGCGTATTACCAAATATTTGTTTGTAATCCACCCTTTTGGTGGATGGAACAAAACCAAAAGACAGAGCCATCTTATATTTTGGCGGGAAATTCACCCGCACTCCAAGTGTTAAGTCACGTATTTATAGCAGGACTACAGAGAGGCCTACCCTAGGAGTCACCTTGAAAAAATGTAGGATTATACTTATCTATAAATTAGCCCAATTTGCAAGTTTCCAATCAGCCCAGAATAACAAAACCTTTCAGAAATACTATTAAGTACAATAATAATCTTTTGAGGGTTTTTAAATTTTTATTTTTTGTAATCCTCACCTGAGGATATCTTTCCATTGATTTTTTAAAAAATATATATTTTATTGATTTTTCACAGAGAGGAAGGGAGAGGGATAGAGAGTTAGAAACATCAATGAGAGAGAAACATCGATCAGCTGCCTCCCGCACACCTCCCACTGGGGATGTGCCCGCAACCAAGGTACATGCCCTTGGCCGGAATCGAACCTGGGACCCTTCAGTCCATAGGCCGACGCTCTATCCACTGAGCCACACCGGTTAGGGCTGATTTTTTTTTTTTTTTTTTTTAAGGGAGAGTGGAAGAGAGAGGGAAAGACAGAGAAAAATATCGATGTGAGAGAAACACATCAATTGGTTGCCTCCGACCAGGGCCAGGGCCCGAGGAGCCTGCAACCAAGGTACATGCCCTTGATGAGGATCGAACCTGGGACCCCTTTGGTCCACAACCGACGCTCTATCCACTGAGCCAAACTGGCCAGGGATAATCTTTTGAGTTTCCATACCCTTTTTTCTTGTTTGGCATCTTCAGCGTGCCCCTGGGCTGTAAGCGGCAGAAGGGCAAGACCTTGCTGTGTACCCACACCGGGCACAGCGCCTCTTGGTGCAGGCCCTGCTCAGGCAGCGTCTGGTGACACCACGAGCCCCTGGGACACAGCCTGCCTGTCAGTACTCCTGTCTCGAGGCGGAGCTCAGCCTTTCCTTACCCGGTGTGGGGTCTCGCTGCCCCGCACCATCCTTCCTGGGTGTCCGTCTTCCATTCCCTGTACCCACAGTTTATTTGACAGATTAGTGCATGAATGGATTGTTTTAAAGTTATTTATTTGAATAATTATAAGTAGTCCTATACACTTTAGTAGTTAAATTACCCTTGAACAATGTGGAGTTAGCAGCGCTGATCCCCACACAGTAGAAAATCCAATGTAACTTTTGATGCCCCAAAAACTTAACTAATAACCTACTCTTTTTTTAAAAGATATATTTTTATTGATTTCAGAGAGGAAGGGAGAGAGGGATAGAAACATCAATGATGAGAGTCATTGATTGGCTGCCTCCAGCATGCCCCCCCACTGGGGATTGAGCCCGCAACACAGGCATGTGCCCTTGACTGGAATCAAACCTGGGACCCTTCGTCCGCAGGCTAGTGCTCTATCTACTGAGCAACACCAGCTAGGGCACTAATAACCTACTCTTGACCAGAAGCCGTAATGATAATACACATAGCCAGTTAGCCCACATTATGCATGTGTTATACACTGTATTCTTATAACAAAGCCTCTTAGAGAAAAGAAAATTATAAGGTTTGTCTGCAAGTTTCTAAAAAATTGTCACAAATCTCCAAAAAGTTTTTCCAGTATATATATTGGAAAAAACCCACTTCTGGGAAGACCCATACCATTCAAGCTGTGCTTTAGACTCATATGGACACTACTTTCAGATGGGTCATTGGGGGGATCAGGACTGGGGGCCACTGTGAGGCATGGCCAGGAAGAGAACTGGGGTCCTGGGATTCGAACCAAGAGCAACGCCTCAGTTTTCTCATCTGTCAGATGGTGGTAATAATACAGATTTCACTGGATGGTTCAGGAAAATGAAACCACAACAGTTAGTACAGAAGATAGACAAGTAAATAGTAGGAATACGAAAGGGTCATTGTGTTTTGAACATTAATAATAAATATTGTTGGTGTTAGTAAATGTTCAGCAAAAGTTTCCCATCAGGGGTCTTGTAATTAACATGCAGAATAAACCAAGTGGTAAACCGTCAGTTGCAAGGAAACAAGCAGAAAGTTATGTGAAGTGATTGATTGATTGGAAATGTTTTGAAGGCAAATCTTCATACAGGTATGAAAGCTAGAGAAAAAAGTCTACATTAAAGCAGATACTTGAGGAATTCCTTAAAAAGTGAAGTGGAACTGGAAAATGGGAAGGAGATGCTAAGTGTTAGGCATTTGTTAGCACATTGACAATAGCGCTGGTGCTTGAGGCTGGAAAACTCCGCTGGGCTGTGCCTCGTTGCTCCTGGTCGGGGGCTTTCTGGACCTCGCGGGGCCGGTGGCTGGGGCGTGCCCTGAGTTCCCTTTGCCCCGCCCGCCTCCCAGGAAGGAAGCATGCCTCTGGAAGACCTGCTGGCCTTCTACGGCTACGAGCCCGTGCTGCCCGCCGCGGTGGAGCCCAGTGCCCACAGCTCCCCAAGTGAACTTGCCGACGAGCTGCCAGACATGACACTGGACAAGGTAAGTACGTCCCCCAGGAGGCAGTCCAGGCCCATTGCCACCGACTCATGAGCTTAGCGCAGCGGAGTCCCTCATCTCAAGTGGGAGCTTCTCGCCCACTGCTCGCTTCACTGGTGACGGTGTAAGTAGTTTGGCCGTGATCGTGCTACTTTAAAAGTAGTGGCTTCACAAGACTGCATGTGTCAGTGTTCGTCCATGTTTCCCATCTTTCCTGTCGACATATTGTGCCTGAACTGAGATTCTGTCCTAACCCCTGTGGACCCTCCGCACACTTGAACGCCGTGGTCAGTAAAGCCCCAGAAGCCTCAGACCAAGCGGCGCAGGCGGGAGGGCGGGCGCGAAGTTCTGCGTGTTGGGCTCTGCGAGGGACAGCGGCCGAGCGGCCGAGGCTCGGTGACGCGTCTGCAGGCTGGTTGGGGGAGGCCTGTCCCGCTGAGGAGGATTCACACGGCCCCTGTCTCTGCTAACAGATCCCTGGGAAGCGTCCCTCGCCTTTCCGAGCTCAGGCAGGGAGAGGAATCCACATCTTGGAACCTCTTCCTGTGAGTGATGTTCCCCCTTTTCAGTCAAATGTGATTTCCTGCACCACAGACCTCAGTGCCCGGCGTCCCTCAGCCACACGGAGTGTCTGCTGTCACAGCACAAGTGACCACACTGCCTGCTGCTCTCCACCTCGTGTCACTCGTCAGAGTGGACGTTGGCTGCTCCAGGCTGCTGGGAGGGGGCTGAGGAGGCTTTCGGCTTTGTTTTGAAGTCACCCCTCAGTATCTGTTGGGGCGGGTGGGGGGGTTGGAGCTCGCCCCCACGAAGAGAAATACCCAGGGTGCCCAAGTCCCTGGTGTGAAATGGCATCTCCATCGCCCCAGGCTCCGCACTGTCTCAGAGCACTCGTCAGACCCAACACTGGAAACTGCACAGAGTTGTGCTGGCTCGTTTGGGGGAAAATGACGTGAAAAAAGTCCGTGCGTGTTCAGTACTGACAGCCTTGCAGGCAGTGCGCGTGCGCAACCCGGGACATTTTTTCCCAATTTTATTTTTATTTTTTATTCCCAAATGTTTTTGATCTGCAGTGGGTTGACTTATGGATGCGAAACCCTCAGATGCTGAGGGCAGGCTGCTATTTATTTATTTATTTATTTTCGCAGAAAGTGATTTTAATTGTTAACCACTTAGAAGTGAGATTATTTTTGTTTTAAAGTGTCTGAAAACTAGTCTGCAGCTTCAGATAAGGCACATTGTTATAAATGTATAGTTACTAATTAGGCCTAAGTCTTAAATGTTATTAAATATTTACATGACATAAATTACAGAATTTCAAATTCTCAAAACTAAGGGAGCTTCAACTCGTTCTTAATTATATCATAATACCACAATAATGTTTATGAGTAACGTTATAAAAAGACATTTTTAAAAATTGGGAGATGGGATTCTCTCTCACTCCAGCACTGCATTCCTGTTCTTACAGGAGGAAATAGCAAAAGACCTGTTGTCAGGTGACGACGAGGAGACGCAGTCCTCCGCAGACGACCTGACGCCGTCTGTGACTTCCCACGAGGCTTCCGACTTCTTCCCGAGGCCTTTGCGCTGTAAGAAACCCAGTCCCTGCTGCCCGGAGCGGATGCTGCTCCAGCTGGAGTACATTTTACTGCCTTCAGTAGTTTGTCAAAATATTCTAAGTTTTTTACTTAATTGACATAAAATGCTATTATAATCTGAATAAGAATATAACCTTTTTTTATTGGGATAGAGGTCAACTAATATTTTATTTAAAAGATCAAAACATTTGCCTAGTTTTGCAAGGCTGCTTTCTTTCCCAGGATTCATCTATTGCTATGATAATCCTAGTTCAACCATGAACTTTTATAGGCATTTTTTGGACTTCAGATAAAAAGCCCTTACTCTCTGTCAACAATAAAAAATTTAAATAAAAAATAAAATAGCCCTTACTCCCCTGGTTTTGAAAACTATCAGTTGCTCAAAAAGCAATTAAAAATATATATTTTTATTGATTTAAGAGAGGAAGGGGGGAAGAGAGAGAGAGAGAGAGAGAAACATCAATGATAAGAGAGAATCATTCATCAGCCACCTCCCGCACATCCCCCACTGGGGATTGAACCCACAACCTGGGCATGTGCCCTGACTGGGAATCAACCGTGACCTCCTGGTTCCTAGGTCGATGCTCAACTACTGAGCTACACCGGCTGGGCTAGCATTTTTTATTTTTAGTGATTTATTTGCTCCTTTTCTTTCCTTTCATTTCTTGTGTTATCCCTTAATATTCATCAGTAATATTTAGACGGTCTTTGAACAGGAGTAATTTCTTACGGGCAGCTTGCTTATTTCCCAAGTGCTCTGTGGGCGAGCCGTTCAGTTGACAAGCTGGGATACACGTGCACAGCCTCCCTGACGGCCGAGGTGCAGCTCCCGTGGGCGCAGGCTGTTCTGAGGTGGCCGCATGGTTGGCCTTGTGCCTCCCCAGGCGAGTGACTGGACACATGCAGCACGAGGGCCCTGTCCCTGTGGCAGCCGCTGCAGGGCTTGCTCTGATGTGTCAGAAGTGGGAGAAGCTCAAGGGGTTAGGATAGTCTTGCTGATCTCAGTTATTCAGCAAATTTCAGTAAATTCCATGTGCCAGGCCCTCTTCCAAATGCTACAGAAATAGCCAATAAAAATCTCTTTTGAAAATTTAATTTTCTTCTTCTCAGCAAATACTACTTGTGACGGAGATAAAGAATCAGAGATTGAAGATGTTGAAACAGACAGTGGTAACTCACCTGAAGATTTGAGGAAGGTAAATTGAGTTACCATAACTTAGTGGGCTATTTGGACCAAAGTATTAAAGTAGCACTTTAAAACATTTTTAAAAATATATATTTTTATTGACTTCAGAGAGGAAGGGAGAGATAAAGATAGAAACATCAGTGATGAGAGAGAATCATTGATTGGCTGCCTTCTGCAAACCCCCTACTGGGGATCGAGCCCACAACCCAGGCATGTGCCCTTGACCGGAATGGAAACCAGGACCCTTCAGTCTGCAGGCCAATGTTCTATCCACTGAGCGAAACCGGCCAGGGCTTAAAACATTTTAAAAATAATTTTTTAAAAAAAATATATTTTATTGATTTTTTACAGAGAGGAAGGGAGAGGGATAGAGAGTTAGAAACATCGATCAGCCGCCTCCTGCACGCCCCCCACTGGGGATGTGCCCGCAACCAAGGTACATGCCCTTGACTGGAATCGAACCTGGGACCCTTCAGTCCGCAGGCCGACGCTCTATCCACTGAGCCAAACCGGTTAGGGCTTTAAAAATAATTTAAGAAATTTTGGCCCTGGCCAGTGTGATTCAGTTGGTTGAGCATCGTCCTATACACCAAAAGGTGGAGGGCTCGGTTCCTGGTCAGGGCACATCCCAGGTTGCTGGTTTAGTTCTCAGTGTGGGTGTGTGCAGTCGGCAACCAATCGATGTTGCCCTCTCATATCCATGTTTCTCTCTTCCTCTCCCTCTCTCTCAAAAAAATTCTTTTAGTTTTGTTATTACATGATGAAGATTTTTGACCAGTAACCAAGTAATGAGTTGTAAATTTTTTCTAATATTTATTTTTATAATACGTTGTTTTTACTTCTGAATTTCCTGTAGGAAATAATGATCGGTTTACAATATCAGGCTGAGATCCCCCCTTATCTGGGAGAGTATGAGGATGATGAGAACGGTAAGGAGGCTTTTGATTCTTACAGTATTTGGTCGGCCAAGCTACCCCTTCGTGTGCTTATTTCCGTGTCTGATTACAAACCAGTGTTGGGAATACACAGATGGACTTGAACCGGGGACACTGGGCTGGCAGAGGAATACTGCATCGGAATTAGCGAGGGCCTGGGGAGGGGGGCAGCTGCTGGCAAATAACGACTTGTGACTTGGGGACCAGGCAGGTTTGGCCACCTTTCTCCCGGCGTGTTGCTTCGTCCTGTGGAGCTGTTACAGCAGAACCACACAGCACACGCGTCCTGAGCTCTTCCTCCTCCGGGTCAGGTTGCCCCCAAGGAGAGGGAGGCAGGACTGGCCGCCCCGGGCCATCAGCCCTGGCAGTTCTGGCCACCCTCCCCTAACCCGCCTGCGGGGTGCTGGGCAGATGTCCTGGGAGGCAGGCACGCAGGTGACTTCAGCGCCCCAGCCTCCCCCCCCACCACATGCCACACCCCGTGGCGCCGTGCTGTGCGCACACTGTCGTCCTTAGATGCACACGTGGAGGCGGCCGCCTCAGCCGGCACGCAGGAGAGGTCATGAACCCAGCGACTTCCTTTAGCCGCTGGAGCGCTGGCTCTTAGTGAAGTGAACACGGCTTTAAACCCTTGTAACGAAGGCTCAGCGTGGCAGCGAGCCGGCTGCTGGTGGGCCTGTTGTGAGTCGTGTCCCAGGGCAGGCGCGGAGGGAGAGGAAGTCATGTCCCCCAGGCTCGTGTGCTCACTGTCCCTGGGCTAATGAGGTTCCTTTCTCAGCGTCTGAAGATGGAGACCAGCTCCTTTGGCGTCCCGGTGTGGTGGCGGAGAGCAAAGTGAAGGAGTACCTTGTCGAGGCCGCGTTCAGAACTGGCAATGAGAAGATGGTGGACAGGGTTTCGGCCGGAGCGCTCACCAGGGACAATGAGCAGGTGGGCACCTCAGCTTCCGTGGAAGCAGCAGCCAGCATCTTCTCGATCGGCTTCTTTAAGCAAGTATTTCTCACGTGTCACCTGGACATCCCTCTATTTTATTTTTATTTATTTATTTTGGATATCTCTTTTTCTGATAGGTTTTTTAAAAAACTGGGAATATACTGGTTAAAAAAGAAAATCTCTGACCTAGTGATGCTCACTCTGTACTCATTTCTTTTTGGTCTTTTTTCTGTACATAACATACATATCTTTAGGTGCTATTTTATATTCTTTAATCACTTAATCTTAGTTTTGCTTGCCATTGAGAGTTCTTTAATACCTCATTCCTGAGGACTGTTCCGTCCTGTAGCTGTAATGTCACTTAGACATTATGGACTTCTAGTTTATTCTTGAACTTCACTCTCCTGGCTGTGTGGGGTGGGTGGGAGTATTGCCCATTAAGGTCCCGTTGAAAACTCTTGTTTTGCCCCTGACCTCATTTTGCCCCTCATGCACTTTTCCCACCAGCCACGGGATCCTGATCAATGGGCACCCAGGGGTGGGGGCACTTAGGCTTGTTCTCAAGTAACAGAGAAGTCACAGTGACTGAACTTCAGAGTAGTTCTATCAGCTGTCAAAGGAACTCCCATTGGGTTTTTGTGCTAATATTCCATTAAAACTACAATTAATTTTGTGCCTTTAACACATTAACCCTTACACTTCAAGAATATGATCTGTGATTCTCCATTTTCTTGGACTTTTTTATCACTCAGATGTTTTTGTTTATTTGAATATGACGTGCATCTGATTAACTTAATTCAATATTTTAACACATTTCGTACCGCTCACGAGTGTTCTCGTTTTCCACGCCCACGGAAAAAGGAGCGAATCTAGATACTTATGTAAATTTTGTTTGGTCCCTCTTCATAGAGGAAAATGTTTTACGCAGTACCATACGTTAAAAAAGTACTAGGAACTTTAATTGTTTAATTGTTTTTGTAAATAAAAATGTTATAATTATTGAAAAACAACACATAAAGTGCATTATGATGATTTAAATAACGTGCAGTTTGCCCAAAAACGTGTGGTCCCTGGCGTATGTCTTAGAGATTTCTATGCGGTCCGCAATGTGTTAAAAGTATGTATATACTCAATGCTATTACAAATGGGATCTCTGTTATATTTATAATTATACGTTGTCTATATAGAGGAATATCAATAATTTTTAAATTTTTTCTCAAGCTGTTGAAACTAATGTGATGATTTCCAGTTGTTTCTCTGAGGTTTTCTAATCTCAGAGCTATTACTGCATCACACCTGTGCTCCTTTCTCACCATTGTCGTGCCTCTGGCTCCTGTTCTTTCTTAACTGCGTTGCCGTAGCTCTCGGGCCTGTAGTGATAGTGACGTGAGCCCTGCTTTTCCGGGAGGTCATGCACCTGAGGCAGGGGTGAGGAACCTGCTTTCTGCCCAGGGCCTGTGGAGATTTATGGCATCATTCTGGGCCACACACAATTACTAACAATCAGATGTTGAATTAACTCGCCCCTCATGCCTTGTCAGGGCCCGACCCAATGGGTTCTCAGGCCTCCTAGGGCCCCGGGCCGGAGGCTCCCAGCCCTGCCCTTAGACTTCACGTCAGGAGTGCGACCAGCCTGGTCCGACACAGCTGTCTTCCTGATAGTGAGGTGGTGACCACCTCCTGATAGCTGGTATAGTTTTTGTTATTTTTTAAAATTAGGAATGGGTACTAATTTATCATATGCTTTTTTAGCAGCTGTTGAGAGTGATAATTAATGCATTGATTATTAACCTATTGATATATTAATAGGCTTACCAATATTGAGCTATCCCTGCCTTTCTTGAAACTTACTTGGGAGGGTGGAGCATTATTTAACTTGTAATTGATTCCCGTCTGCTTCTATTTAGTGTATTCATAATGTCCAACAGATTTAATAGGCAGAAATTCTAATTTTAGCACGTTTAGCGCCCAGCCTGTTTTGAAAGTGACTGACAGGGCGCTTAACATGTTAAAAAGTGACACTTCATGGTGGATGGAAATGACTGAGACCATTGTAAACCCATTTGTTGAAGTGCCCACACTTCTAGTCTCGGCTGCTGCTGCTCTCTCTTATTAAACACTCAAAGGCAGGGAGTAGGGGTGACCAGCGGACTAGAGTTCTCATTTCCCAACTAGAAAAAATAATACAGGAGAGGGGATTCCCCAGTTCAGAAGGCCAGGCAGTGAAGAAAAGGTCAAGAACGATCCTGGTAGATGCTTCTGTGCCGTGGCGGGGAGCGAGAGCGAGCACGGGCCTCCCGGGACACGGCGGTCAGGCTGCAGGCTGAGCAAACCTACCCCAGCGTCCTGAGGTGAGAGAGCCTCAGCCAGTGTTGGCCAGGACTTTGCAATACACCAGGGTTTTGGTTGCTTGTTGCTTGTTCTTGATGCTGCTAAGTGTGAGTTTTCTGCTGTGCTGTTGACTTGTTTCCCTTTCTCCAGGCATTATATGAGCTGCTCAAGTGTGACCATGACATCAAGGAGGCAGTCGAGCGGTATTGCCGCAGCGGAAAGGCATCTCCGGGTGAGAGCACTGAGGCCAGGGGGACGGGACGGCCCCAGGTCAGACGTGCACAGCTCCTCAGGTCTCTGCTGGCCTTCGGAGCAGATAGTGGTTTCCTTTCTCTGGCCTCTGTTCTTAGACTTACAGAGATTACAGATTAGTCCCCGTCATGACATTTCACAATGCTTAGGTTTTGTTTTGCTTAATCAAAATGCATAATTTTGCCCTGACCGGTTTGGCTCAGTGGATAGAGCATTGGCCTGCAGACTGAAGGGTCCCAGGTTCGATTCCGGTCAAGGGTATGTACCTTGGCTGCGGGCACATCCCCAGTAGGGAGTGTGCAGGAGGCAGCTGATTGATGTTTCTCTCTCATCGATGTTTCTAACTATCCCTCTCCCTTCCTCTCTGTAAAAAATCAATAAAATATATCAAAAATTTTTTTAAAAAATGCATAATTTTGATTTCAGTGTTTTTGTCATGACGTGGATAGGTTGCAGGCCCCATAGCTTTCACTAAGTAGGTGAGTTAGTACTTACTGATATTACAGAAATGGCTGGAGCAATACCACAGCTGGAAACTGCATTGAAACTTGTAGATCAGACAGGATGTTTCCTTGTAGAAGCTGCTGCTTTGAAAAACATTATTTTAAGTTTCCTCCTTCGTTCCAAGTATTTCTCCCCGGCCCTGTGGGCTGCGCATGGCGTTGGGGCCTGGTCCCTGGTCACAGCGACAGGGAGTGTCCTGCTGTGAGTGTCCAGTAGACGGAGCTCACAGTGTTGTGTCCGCCAGGGAGCTGCGCGGGTTCAGCCTTTTGATTGAGAGCATGGACTGTTCCTCATTCCAGAGGATAGCTCTGAACACTGACTTTAAATAAATATGTCTTGATTTTATGGTCTAATTAAAGAACTTAGGGTTTTGATGTAAGACCAAAATAAGGCTTTTTTCCCCCCATAAAGTAAAACATTTTTTCTAATTAAAGAAAGTATATGTTCATTGTTTTAAAAAATCAGACCATTAGCATAAATTATAGAAAAACATTCAATTCTTATCCCACCATGCAGAAAAAATAATCAGTGTTTATATTTTGGTATTTTAGACTTCTGATAAGATCTGTGGTATGCATACTTATTGTAATCCTAACTGAAATCTCAGACATGTGGAACCTGTGTGTGTGTGTGTGTGTGTGTGTGAGAGAGAGAGTGTTTATGGCCTTTTATATGGAAAACATACTGAAAGTCAGTGATTCATATAAAAGTGTTTTGAGTCTAATGAATTTTATTTTAAAATTTCCTTAGAGGGAATGACTGCATGGACAGAAGAAGAATGCCGGAGCTTTGAACACGCACTCATGATCTTTGGAAAAGACTTTTATCTTATACAGAAGAACAAGGTGAGTTGGGCACATGAATGCAGAGTGGTTGTTGGTCACTGTGATGATTGTGAGCAGCTGACTGTCACCTGGGTGCAAACCGGCGTGGCCTGCTCACGTGTCCCTGCTCACGTTTCCAGTCCTGCTCTCAGCGTGGGCTTTGCTCCCAGCTGCAGCCTGCTCACGGGGTGGCTGACCGGCCACCTGCGTCCTCTTGGCGCGAGTCGGCGTCCTCCACTCAAAAGTGGGTTTACTGAAGTTGCAGGAAGTCTTACTCTTCCACCATTTTCTTGATTTTCATTTATTTCTAAACTGTTAGAGGTTCGTGGCCTCCGAAACGTTTCTCTTTAGCAAGAAGTGCAGGTGCTGAAGAAAGTGGTTCCAAAAGCAACTAAAAGCCCCGACGACGCCCGTGCCAGCAGCACGTGGAGCAGCAGGAGCTCGCTGCTGCGGTGCGGATGCAAACGGTGCCGCCACTTGGGAAGGCGGGTTGGCAATTTCTCACAAAACTCATACAGTTGTCACACGACTGTCCGCTGTACTCACTGGTATTGACCTAGAGCAGCTGAACACTCACGTCCACACAAAAGCTTTTACACGACTGCTCGTAGCGGCTTTAGTCATAATTGCCAAACGAGGAAGCAATTCAGATGTCCTTGGAGGTGAACGGGTCACCTGTGGTACATTCAGAGAAGGAGTATTACTCAGCTCTCTAGCTACAAAAAGTCACTGAGGCTCCTTACATTCTATTCCTAAGTCAAAGGGTTCAGTCTGGAAAGGCTGCTGACGGCGATTTCAGCGCCTGTCAGATTCTGGGAAGGGCAGCTCTGTGGACAGAGGCAGATTATTAGTGGTTCCAGGTTAGTGAGGAGGAGGGGTGACGTCGAGCACAGAGGATGCTGGGCAGGAAACTGCTCTGCAATGGTGACTGCGATGGTGGACAGTGTGGTGTCGTCGTGCCTTTGTCCGGCACCAGGAGTGAAACCAATGTACACGATGGGCTTTGGGTGATGAACAGTGTGTGTGTGTGAGAGTGTGAGTGTGTTCTAATGGTGTGGGGTAGTTTAGTCTCACTAGGGTTTGCTTTGTTTATTATTATCTTCACCCTAAAGGAACATAGGATTCTGAAGTATTTAGATAAGTAGGTCCATATTTTTTTTTAAGTTTTTTCCATTGATTTTAGGGAGAGAGGGAAAGACAGAGAGAAACACGGATGTGAGAGAAACACATCGATGGGTTGCCTCCTGTACGGGCCCTGGTCAGAGCCTGGGCCGGGAGGAGCCTGCAACCAAGGAATGTACCCTTTGGTCCGCAGGCCGACGCTCTATCCACTAAGCCAAACTGGCGAGGGCAGTGTTGATAGGTTTTTATTAATTGAAGTCCCTAGTTTACACGTGGGCTCACTCTCCGTGCTGAACATTCATTCTGTGGGTTTGGACAGACATGTAATGGTGTGTGTCCACCACTGTAGTGTCTCACAGAGCAGTTCCACTGCCCTCCACACCCCCCGTGCCCTCCCTGCCGTCCCTCCCCACTGATCCCTGGAACCATCACCTCTCTGCTCTCCGACCCTTTTCCTTTTCCAGAAGGTCGTGGAGCTGGAACCAGATGCCATGCAATGCAGTCTTTTCAGACTGACGTGTTTGGCTTAGCAACAAGTGTTCAAGGTTCCTCCATGTCTCTTCATGACGTGAGAGATCATTTCTTCTTTTTTCAAAAGAATATATTTGTATTGATTTCAGAGAGGAAGGGTGAGGGAGAGATAGAAACACAGTGATGAGAGAGAATCATTGATTGGCTGCCTCCTGCACGCCCCACACTAGGGATCCAGCCCACAACCCAGGCATGTGCCCCGACTGAGAATCAAACCTCCTGATTCATAGGCCAGTGCTCAACCACTGAGCCACACCGGTCGAGCAGTACATTTCTCTTGTCACATTTCTTTTTACTCCATCCGTGGATGAACCAGCTTGTTGACCCTGTCACCGGTGAGAGCCATGTGGTCACTTCTAGGCTTTGACGATGATGAGTAAAGGCCTGTGACAGCTGTGTGGGGCTTTCCTGTGGACAGGAGCGCTCACCTCCTTCGGCTGGTTTGGGTTCACCAATGGGTGTGATGACTGGCCATATGGCCAAAAGGATGTTTGGTTTTGCAAGAAACTGTCTTCCCAGTGGCTGCAGCGTTGTGCATGCCCACCAGCAGGGATGCGTGTTGCCCTGGCCACATCCTGGCCGGCATGTGGTGTGTGTGAGTGATGGCCGTGCTGATAGCGGGCCGCGGGCCTTGTGTTCACTCCCTCTCCCTGAGCACCTGTCACGTGCTGCTGTTCCCCTGCACATCTGTGGGGTCTGGTCTGGTCTCTAGCCCATTCTTTTTCTAAAATATATTTTTATTGATATCAGAGGAAGGGAGGCGAGAGAGATAGAAACATCAGTAATGAGAGAGAATCATTGATCGGCTGCCTCCTGCACGCCCCCTACTGGGGATCGAGCCTGCAACCCGGGCATGTGCCCTTGACCGGAATTGAACCCGGGACCCTTCAGTCCTCAGGCGGACGCTCTATCCACTGAGCCAAAACAACTAGGGCGAGGAGCCTGTATTTTCTACAAAGACTTTAGTGATTTTTATTGAAAGGTATACTTTATCTTTGGTTTAAAAAGCTTATCCCTATATTATCATCTTAAACCATATCATGCTTACTAATCAGAGTCGAGTTACTGACACTTTGTTCTTGGGCACCAGGTCAGCAATGGAGTTGTGTCTGCGGGTCTGAGCTCCTCCCTGCACTGAACATAGGCGCCTGTTCTGATGGAGAGCCAAGAGCCAAACTCGTGTGGAGGGAGCCCCACTTTTAGACAGAAAATCCCCTAAATTCCAGATGCAGTAGGTGCTGGTTCCATCTCCAAGGGGATCCCAAATCTCTTTAGGATCATGGAACCCTTTGATAGTATGAGGAGGCTGCAGTCCTTTCCGGAAAAGGGGGCCTGCGTGTAACATCAGGAATTCCTGGCTTCCCCCGACGCCCATTCATGGCCAGCCCTCGGGTCAGGGACCTGCTGCAGCCAGAGTCAGCGAGGGCAGCGCAGAGAAGTAACGGGGCCGGTGTGTGAGGGCTCCATTGAGGGCAGAGGTGACTGGTAGATGCACATTTATTACAAACTAGTACAGTTTGGTTTAAATAAAAAACAAACCTTGGGCTTTTGAAGGTGGCCTCATTACTCAGTAGTGTAAATGTAAAGGCTTTTCACTATTCACGTTTTCAGGATTTCATCGTTGGGAGGATGGAAAGTGTCCCGTGGATTGAAGTGACTAGTCTTGTAGAAAAAGAGCTAATAAAGAAAAGAGTATTGGGTCTGTTTTTAAACATCCACCTCTGGCAGGTGAAGACCAGAACGGTGGCGGAGTGTGTGGCGTTCTACTACATGTGGAAGAAGTCTGAGCGCTACGACTACTTCGCGCAGCAGACGCGGTTCGGGAAGAAGCGCTACAACCACCACCCCGGAGTGACGGACTACATGGACCGCCTGGTGGATGAGACAGAAGCTCTGGGGGGGACGGTCAGTTCTCCCGGCTTAACCGCCACCCGCCCTGACCCTGTTCCCGACCCGCAGCTGAACATCCTCAACTCCTTCACCGCAGGGGACTTGACAGGTAAAGCGGCCCCCCGCTGCTCAGCTCTGGGCCTGGAGTCCTCTCCTTCACACACTTAACCCTTTCCTTTCCTTCCTTTCCAGCCTTGACCGGCAGCGCCGCGCCCCCCGGGGCTGTGAGCTGCGTGGAGGAGGGCTTTCCTCCCCTGGGCAGCATGCCCCGCGGCCCAGTGACTCCCGTGCCTGTGGTGACGGAGGAGCTGCTCGCCCTGCCCAGCAACGGGGAGAGCGACTGCTTTAACCTGTTTGAGACTGGGTTTTACCCCTCGGAGCTGAACCCCATGACCCTGTGCAGTGAGGAGTCCGAAAGGCCAGCAAAGAGATTGAAAATGGGCCTTGCCGTTCCCGAACCCTTTATGAGTGAGGTTTCTGTGAATAACCTGGGTGTGGACTTTGAAAGCCACACACATCACATTGCCAGTGCCAAAATGGCCGTGTCCGTGGCTGACTTTGGCAGCCTGTCCACCAGCGAGGCCAATGGCTTCATCAGTGCCCACGCCCTGCACCAGCACGCCGCCCTCCACTCCGAGTGACCGGCAGCGGCCTGCAGCCCAGTGAGCGCGAGGACACGTTGGGCTGGCTTAGTCTTTCACTGGAAGCTTGAACGTTTTCACTATGACGTCAGTGATGTCAGCATGTATAGAACTCTATCTTGATTTATCAAGAGTATTTTCATTTCTCAATCCATAAATGTGGAAAACCATGAGCAGCAGAGCTGGGAACGAAGATTGGACTCCGTGCAGCTTTAAGCTCTGCTCTCTCCCTCACCTCCCAGGCCTCTCCCTCACCTCCTTTCCAGTCTCTTCTGCTCCCACGTTTAAAACCTGTAGACAGGCCACCAGCTCAAAACCAGCACATGTTCAGGACCGAAGGGAGTGGCTTCTCGTGTAAGTTCCTTTTGCCGTAATGGATGCAGTGGAATAAGTGTTTACAGGTGCCGACCCTGATCCCTGCTAAATGTAGCATTTTTTGGTTTTCTTAATTAAGCAAAAGCAGGGGTAGGTTTCTTAAAACTGCACAGACATGCAAAGGTTTTTTAAAATGGAAACTTCTCTCATGTTATTCAGCTAGAGCACTTCCGTTTACAAACAGCACGTCCACCTCTGGGAGCCGGCGAGGGGCTGTGCGCAGAGCGCAGATGCTCGGATGTTTCTGGATTCTCGGCCAGGGCACCTTCCGCAGAATGGCTTGTTTTACTGTCGGGAGATTTATGAACTTCATTGATTGCTACAGATTGGGCGTGTGAAGATGTGTATCCAGATGGGCTTTGTCCACCCTGGTCAAGGCTGTGATTGGAAAAGCCACACCGGCCACCGATGGCAGAGTCTGTCCTGGGCAGTGGCCTGGCGGGCAGCTCCTGTTTACATTGCGGGACGCGTTGGCAGCACTGCAGTTCAGCGTGGATGCCGAGGAGGGACGCTGGGGTTCTGCACGCGGCAGGAGAACCTTCAAGTAGACTTACATGTTTTTTTTTTAATTTGAACAGGTGACAAGAAAAATGTGAGTTACTACCTGAACTAGAACGGTACTTGACCACTTTCAGTTATAAGCAGGTTTAGGCACTCAGATGCGCTCGAGCTCAGTTTTACTCCATCGCAGACATCATGTGACCGAGAGGCTGTTGTCAGAAACCTCGGCCATTGTGCTCCATTGACACGCATCGCAGTGATCAGGTGAACTGACAACATGCAGTACAGTATTAGGATGGACTGAGCTTTGCTTTTCTATTTCAGTTAAGACACAGACTGACTTTTCTATTTGCACCGCCTTTAGAATCTTCTGTTTGTGCGAGTGTCTGGCTTTGCAGACGGCTGAAACGTGTGGCCGCATTGCCGATCGTGTGAGTCTCCGTCACCTCGAGGTGGTGCTGGCGCGTAGGTAGATGGTAGCGACCTTAGCCGCGTGGGCAGGGAGGGTATTTATTACACAGACTGTGAACTGCAATGACATCCTGGGTTTGGATGAAGCGTAGTCTTGTTTTCTTTGCAGCATTTTAATGAAGATTGTTTTGAAGTGTTTACACAGGATAGCACATTGACCATAAACTTTAGTTTAGCACAGTGGACAAAAGTAGGTAAGTTAATAACTTAAAATCAGTCTCTAATTTATAGATCTGAAGCCTAGCATTCCTGTGTGCCCACAGCAGCTAGGGGCAGCCTGGGCTGCGTGCTGCCCATAGCTGCTGTCAGCGTTATCTGCGCTGTCAGCGTTGACTGCTGTGGTGGTGTGCTAAGCTTTGGACCTTAATTCTTTTGTTAAGAATCAGTACAACTGCTATGATTTAGTAAGATACTGGCCATAATCTTCCATTGTTACGACTTTAATTTTCACTAGGTTTACAGTGGCTGGTCGGTGTGACGTAATTTACACAGAGATGGTCCAGCGCTAACACCAGCCACGCTGAGAGCACGCCCATGCCCGGCACCACGGTCTAGTCAGTGTAGCGATGCATCGCTGGGGCTCGATCAGGATGGAAACGCTGTTTCTTATCGCAGGTTTTGATGATCAGCAAGTGGAATGGACACGTCTGAATAAAGATTTTTGACCAAAATTCAGAAAATGATATGAGAGAAACATAAACTCCAGCTAGTTTCATAGATGTTTAAATGCCAAGCTGGCTCAGCCTCTTAGAGAGTGCTGGCAGGCTGGCCATGTTTACTTTTAATTCCTTATTAAAATGAGGCAATAATCTGCAAGATTTTTGTATATATGTGTAAATTCTTCCTATCTTTTTAGATCTGATTCCGTATTTTTTGACTGCGTCTGCCATGTATAATACCATTTTTGTGCATGCTTGATGTGACATACATAAACTATACCACTTTGTCCATGTAAAATAGCTATTTATTGAATTTTCTTTTAAAAGCTGGATTGACTGTTTCCCCCTCTCCATTGAGGCATCTTAACACAGAATTTGTTACTGTTTATCAGAAGAATTGCGTTTGAGAGCATGAAGATAATGGATTTGCAGTCAGATGAAGAGACAACGATGCCTTTATTATCAAGTGCTAAGCACAATTCTGTGACAAACGGTGATAAATTCTTTTTGTTTTTTTCCTTCGCTGCGTTATTTTCATACGAACAAACCAAAAATCCATGGTGAGCGGTTGCAGTGTGGGCCGATGCGTCTTTTCTGCGGAGACTTGGGGACAGTGGTGGGTGCGATGGTGCTGCGACTCGAGCAATACTTCCCGGCAGCCGAGCTGGCACTGCTCAGCGCCTGCTCCTCGGTCAGCTGCTGAATTTACTTGAAGGATGTAGAGTAATTTTACACGATACTCAAGTGTGTACAATTAGGTCAAAGCATTGTGCAATGGTTTCCTAGTAATTTGTACGATTGAGGGTCCTGAGTGTTTGGACGTCGGCTCTCACAGCAGAGTGATTTTAACTATTGAATTTAACCAAAGTCGCCAGTGACTCTTGCAACTCTGAATGTAAACTAATGGAGGAACCTGACCACCAAGGAGATTGTTTGCCCAGTTTCAAAGCACATTGTCTACAAATGGAGATTGAAATAATTTATAAGAATATTGACATTACTATGTTTTTTAAAAAGTTCTTAATTTTTCACTAAAAGGAGGAAGCTATTAGTTTTATTAAATATGGTAGATATTAAAATTCCTCTTAGAAAACCAGTGATCCAATGGTCCCAGTTTGAGCTAAGTACCCTGTGAGTGAAATGAATTAGTGACAATCAGAACAAGTCTTAGTAACAGATATTCAAGAGGAAGTTGCTATTGTTGCATTGATTTTAATATTTGTACATAAACACTGATTTTTTTGAGCATTATTTTGTATTTGTTGTACTTTAATACCTGTACAGTTCCAGAAATAAACATCTGGAAATCTTTTTTTTCTTTCTTGGCTTGTGTGAATATTTGCCACAAATAGGTTTTATTTAATAAGTCTTAAGCTATGACACACAGGTAGATATTTAACCACTATTAAATTGGTTTTAGATGGAGTAAATAAGGTATTTGGTAGATGAAGTAAGTTTTCTGTAAATTCTCTATAATAATTTTCATTTATAATAAAACTAGCCATCCCAAAGTGAGGATTATGCTTTAAATTTAATTCAGGAAATATTTAATGAACATCTTAATGTTTCAAACACTGTTCTAAGTGGCTTCTAAGAAGACATGATACCTGAAATTTGGTCACATTATTTGACATATTTATGGTAGGTTTCTTCATAATAGTCACATTCAGTCGACTCTAGAACGACTTCCCTAAGCCTTTATCTCTCCAGGCGTCCCCCACGCCCCTTGCTCTGACCAGAGCTTTCTCTGTGGCTCCCTTAGTCTCTCCGATCTGAGGGCACACGATGTCCGGATTCTGTGTAAGGACAGGAGAGGGAAGATGGAAACGAAACCCTGACTCCCCAGCTCTGGTTACTTGTCTAAAAGCGCATTCCTTCACCCGCAGACACCAGCGAGCTCGCTGTGCAGGGCTCGGGGACACTGCCCTCCGGGCGGCGTCTGAAGGCAGCCAAGTGCCCCGTGCGAGCTACATAGTGTTTCAGACCTTCAGGGGCAGGAGCAGAATCATCTGGTGACTTCCAGGCCTCGTCCCTTTGGGCCACAATCGCCGTCAGTGGCAGGCTCTGCGCCTGGGGCTTCGCTGCCCTCTCCCAGGCCTCTGGCCCTGATGCACACGGGCTCATTAGCCCCACTCAGCATTCACACGCGTCGGGGACGCCACGTGGAGACAGGAGCGCTCGTGCCGGTGTCCCCCACATGCCAAACAGTCTCATGCTGCTTTAATCTCTGGGTAAATGTGCAAATAGAGAAAATGGTATGACCCCCCGCCCGTTTCTCCCTTAGCTAAAACAATCTTTACACACACACCAGTTAACTCATGGGAACAAAAAATGTTTGGCTTTAGCTTATTCTAGAAAAACATTTTTCAGAAGTTCATATACATCAACAGTAAAATAATTGCTGATAACTTGGCTAACATTTTATAACCACACATGTATATGGACACAAGATATATTAAAAGAAAAATTAAATTATAAATTCAGGCAGTAGGTTTTAATTACTGTATTTAGGTGAAAATGAAAATTGGAATAGCACTGCAAATTTGAAATTGAGCAAATAACTTTTATCATGGAATTGAAACAAAATAGAAATAAATTCCCACTCTGGAATTCAGAAGTGATTAACCAAAATATTAACATGAACTGAATAGAAAACCCGATCCTTATTCAGAGTCAGCTGACAACCGTGTAGTAGTTTGAGAAAAGCTCTTCTCCTTGTCCGACGTCCCTGAGAGCAACGAGGACGACGCAGCGCAGCGGCCTGAAAGCAAGACACCCCGCGTTAGTGCTGGCAGAGAGCCGGGTCCTGGAACCAGTACGGTGTCACATCCCTTACCATCTTCTTAGTTGATGCACTTGATCTCCATGAGGCAATAGCTGTCCCTGACGGAAGTGTTTAAAAGTAGACTATATGTCATTTAAAAAGACCACAGGCCAATGAGTTTATTTTTAAATTTTTTAAATTTTCTTTTTTAAAATATATTTTTATTGATTTCGGAGAAGAAGGGAGAGGGGGGAGAGAGAGGGAGAGAGAAACATCAATGATGAGAGAGAATCATTGATCGGCTGCCTCCTGCCTACTGGGGATCGAGCCCGCAACTCGGGCATGTGCCCTTGACTAGAATCGAACCTGGAACCCGTCAGACCACAGGCTGATGTTCTATTCACTGGGCCACACCAGCGAGGGCAGACCAATAAGTTCATACAACTGACTACTGAACACTGATGCTCAGGTCCTCAAAACTGGTATCACAAAAAAAGCATTTAAAAGTGATATTCATTATAAGTTTAGCATTTTAAAATTAATTTGTATGTTTGTATTCTGCAAAGCTAGAAACATTACTTGAAATTAATTGGATTAAAAAATCATTTTTATGGACACAACAAGACATGTCATCTTTTTTTGTTTTGTTAATCCTCACCTGAGGATACCTTTTCCATTGATTTTTTTTTAGAGAGAGAGTGGGAGGCGGGGAGAGAGAGAAACATTGATGTGAGAGAGACACATCGACTAGTTGCTTCCTGCACATACCCTATTGGTCTGGGGATCGAACCTGCAACCCAGCATGTGCCCTTCATGGGGAATCGAACCCGAGACCGACTGTCCCATGTGCGGCCGACTCTCTAACCACTGAGCACACCGGCCAGGGCAAGAGGTGTAATCTTCAATGTTCCTACTCATGTAGCATTTCCTGTACTGGTTGGGTAGTAACGCGTTATGCCCCAGAGGATGTTAAAGAAAACGTAAATACCCGACACACATGGAGAAAAGTTACCAAGTTTTAAGTACAGGGAACAGTCTTCAGCTTTAAATACCATTCATTTCAAAAGGACACTAGGACCCACACAAATTAAGTTTGCTAACAAATGGCAACTCAGTGAAGTGATACAAAGATTACATTTCCTACAGCATTGTTGGTAACTCCACAGAATCATTTATTAAAAACTGTTACTTGAGTATTCTAGTAGACTTACGGGGCAGAAAATTGCTATACTGTAATACAAATGTTATCTTCTGAGTATTTCCCTTTTTTCACTATTTTTAAAATTTTATTTTTTAATTTAAATATAGTTGGCCTACGCTTTTTTTCACGATCAGGTTTCCAAATCTAATAGTGGAAAGAGCAGAAGAAATCACGGGTAATTCGGCCCCTTCAGCCAGGTCCTCTCATGTCAGGACAAGCGGGGAGGCTCACCCTTGCTGGGCACAGCTGTAGGTGGTGTTGGGCAGGTACTGCTTCAGTTCCACAGGGAAGCCCGTGGGCACGTCCAACTCCTGATAGCAGACGTTCGCTGGTCTGTCTGGGAGCAAGTATGTAATTTTTAGACATAGCCATTTCACTAGCCATGGAAAACTACTGAATTATGACACTTGTATGAGTTTCTAAATTATGAGAACATGCTCAAATTAATAATCCCTATTATGTTCTAGGCACTGCTAGGCTTTCTATGTAAAAAACATATATATAAAGTGTCCCCCCAAAATGCATATGCACTTTGAATAATTATAAGGGCAGAGTTTATTAAAATGTGTTTCATTTTCAAAATGTCATAGAAATCAGCTGTTAGTGTATCTACGTTTTTGGGATGCCTGTGTGTGTGTGTTCCCTCTGCCTCTCTCTCACCCCATGGTGCCCACTTACCATTGGAGCAATTGTTGACATACTGGCCTACCGCCAGAGGGTTCTGCATTTCTGATGTTAGCCAAGTGCTATCGCTCATTCTTAAAGGGCCAAGTCGGTCCCTTCCATTGCAAGATCTGAAACAGGTGAGAGCATTAGCCAAGAGGTTGTTCTTCTGAATCTTAAAATTCAAAAATACAAAATTAACCCTACAACTGAGAAAGTGCAATTTCTCTTACAAAACCACTTTAGTCAATAGGGCAACCAAGGCTACTGGTCATAGTCATTGCTGTGTGTGGTTTCGTCTCCTCGAATGAAGTTTACACATAGGCACCAACTTACCTGTACACGACTTTCGAGATTCCCTTGTCATTTCCATCAATGAGCACGCCATCCAAGCATCTAAAAATAAACGGATTTCCAATCGACTGGAAAAAGATTGGCTCATATTTCTGATATACTGTACCTGTCATGCAACAAGACAAAGGGATATTATAGCAACATGTAAAACCCACTCACACCATGGTAAGGGCCTTTCTCTGGAACATATACATAACATGTAAGAACTTGTTTTAATTTCTCACACTTTTCTCCAATATTTTACCTCCAAGTTGGACCATCACATTCTCTTTGGCAATTTCACCCTTTGAAGGGGGCCCAATAGCAGATAGAGCACAGAACCAACGTGTCTGCACAGCTGGAAATATGCCTTGGTTAATTCTTGTATGTGGCCTGATAGGGGATCACACCTGCAACCCTAACCCTAACCCCAAATCCTAACCCTAAATCCTAACCCTAACCCTAACTCCTAACCCTGACCCTAACCCTAACTCCTAACCCTAAATCCTAACCCCAAATCCTAACCCTAAATCCTAATCCTAACCCTAAATTTTAACCCTAAATCCTAACCCTGACCCTAACCCTAAATCCTAACCCTAACCCTAACTCAGTGATTCCCAAAGTGGGCGCTACCGCCCCCTGGTGGGCGCTGCAGCCATCCAGGGGGGCGGTGATGGCCACAGGTGCATTTGGGGGCGATGAGTAACTGCTATTAAAATTTTAAAAAAATTAATTTCCAGGGGCTGAGTAATATTTTTTCTGGAAAGGGGGCGGTAGGCCAAATAAGTTTGGGAACCACTGCCCTAACTCCTAACCCTGACCCTAAGCCTGAATCCTAATCCTAAATCCTAACCCTATGAGCTACCTAGCCAGAGCTGCTTTGTGTGTGTGTGTGTGTTTTCAATATGTATATATTCTTGATTTCAGAGAGGAAGGGAGAGGGAGAGATAGAAACATCAGTGATGAGAGAGAATCATTGATTGGCTGCCTCCTGCACGCCCCCTTCTGGGGATGGAGCCCACAACCTGGGCCTGTGCCCTGACCGGAAATTGAACCGTGACCTCCTGGTTCATAGGTCGAGGCTCAACCCCTGAGCCATCCGGCCGGGCTGCTTTGTGGTTTTTGTTCGTTTGCTTTAGTGAAGGGTGATTAGACATCTATCAAAGCCTCTTCTAAGAAATGTGTTTTGTCAATGACAATAATGTAGCCGTACACGGAACAGATGAGCCTGGCCTTCCGGTCGTCCCTCCTTTCACTGGCAAAGGAGGAAGGACACACGCCGGCGCTGCTGGTTCCAGGCTGTAGATCTATTGCGCTTGTTTCAGTGTTAGTTTGTTGCTGGCTTGTTCCGTTCAGTCTTACAGTTAATTGTGTGAAAGAACGTGAGCCTCCCGTGCTTAGGGATGGCAATTAGAAAATGGTCAAAGGGCTTTTTGGAAACGTAGGTCTGACTTATGCATCCACATGTATTTTCCATTTTGCCAAACCCTACACCAGCTTAACACATGGCACATCTTAGCGTCCTAGTTCAGCGGTCGCCAACCTTCCAGACCTCCCGGACCACCAGTGCTCCGCTGACCACCGGTTGGCGTCCGCTGAACTAGTTCATCATCTCCTGCAACGAAGCTGCTTACTTTCCAATGTAGAAATGGCAGGAAGGCCTTGATTCAGTAATATATTTATTTATTTTTAATATATTTTTATTGATTTCAGAGGGAGAGAAACATCAATGATGAGAGAGAATCACTGATCAGCTGCCTCCTGCACGCCCCCTACGGGGGATCGAGCCTGCAACCCAGGCATGTGCCCCTGACCCGGAATCGAACCTGGGACCCTTCAGTCCGCAGACGGACGCTCTATCCACTGAGCCAAACCAGCCGGGGCTATTCAGTGATTGATGAGTTTAAGTTCTACCTTTTATGTTTCAACCCCTCTGTTTTACATTTATCTAAACCAAACTGACTTATTCTCTAGTGCTTTCTAAGTAACGTCTGATCAAAGCAGGCCGCACCACCTTCTCCTAAATTTAAACACTGAGTAGAAACATGTCCTTAAAAGAAGAGAGAGCGCGTGTGTCCCAACCAGTGCGCAGGACACTTTCTAGCATAAGGTCACGAACAAGCAGCTCATTTCCGAACTGGGATTTAAAAATCGGAGGGAATCCGAGTCTCCCCTGCACATTCTTGGGGTCAGGGGGACAGGCTGGTTCTGGTTTGAGCTTGTTCATCAGCAAGAGGACGCCCGGCCGCGCGCCGCGGTGCGTTACCCGGGTACATGCCGAACCACGGCGCCCCGCGGGGCCCTTACCCGGGTACATGCCGACCACGGCGCCCCGCGGGGCCCGTCCTGCCGCCACGAAGACGCCCCCTCCCCGGCGGCCGCCAGGGAGCTGGCCGCGCGGGCCACACTGAAGCCCAGGGTCTGGTACAGGACGTCTTGGGGTGTGAAGCCGAGCACGGGCGCCCCCCGAGGCTGAGCCGACAGCAGGTCTTGGTACTTGGACCGAACCGGTTCCGGGAGCGCCGCCAGGACGTCCCGCTGCCGGGGGAGGGCGTTGGCGAACAGCGCCCGGAAGACGGCGAGCAGCGTCCGCAGGACCTCGGCGTCCGGGACCACTTTGTCCTCAAGCTCCGCGGGGACGTAGCGCAGGGTCCTGCAAGGAAGAGGCCGTTGGCCGCCGCCTGGGGCCTCCCCGGCCGGAGGGCTGGGCGCTACGGATCCCATAGGGCAGCGGTTCTCAACCTGGGGGTCGCGACCGTCGGAAAACACATATATAATCACATATTGTTTTTGTGATTAATCACGATGCTTTAACTATGTTCAATTTGTGACAATGAAGTTGGGGGTCACCACACATGAGGAGCTGTATGAAAGGGTCGCGCATTGGGAAGGTTGAGAAGCGCTGCCCTACAGTGACCGGGGTGGCGCCGCCCAGCTCCCAGCGGCCCGACCCAGTGCGGACGCCCGGGCCGCCCAAGGCCCGTCCGCGCCAGCGCCGCTGGCCCCCACACTCGTCTCCCGGCCAGGGAACCGGCCGGGCGGCCTCAGGGAGGCCGGGCCGAGGCGCCCGGAGGGGGGGCAGCACACACAGCGGTCACGTGAGGCCACTGAGCATCGTCACGTGACGGCTCCCGGGGCGTGGCTTCCGGCACCACGTTCAGTGGCGTCCTGCGCGCTGTCGCTCCCCCGGGAGGGCGCCCCCTGAGGACGGGCGCTTTCCTGTCCGCGAAGGGAGGTGAAGGGAGGTGACGCTCAGCCGGGAACGGGTCACTCATCGCTGCCGTGGGCGCCCCGAGGGCTCGTCCCCGCGCGCTCGCCACTCCGTGAGGCGTCGCCCCGCTGACCCGTGTTGGCACCCACACTCCGCGTGTTAGGGTCTTCCGGCTCCTTCCTAGGCACCCGCCACTCGGGGCCGGTCCCCGCACCGCGGGCGGAGGTGCTTTCACCGCGTCAACACCTCGGTTTGCCTTTCCGGGGGCTCCAGCTCCCCGTGCTGCAGCCGTTTTCCTCCTCCTCAAAAGTTCAGTATTTTCCCAGGAGCCCGCAACCCAGTCCGCGCCGCCCGCGGGCGACCCCTACCGGCCGACCTGGCAGCGCGGGGCACGACGGGAAATAGGCCCCAGGCCACGCCCACCCGAAGCCGCGACACCCCCGAGCGGCCCCCAAGCCACCGACTCCGGCGTTCTCA